ATAAAGGACTGGGGATGCAGCTCGGGGTGAAGGCCCTGGGTTCAATCCCAGCTCTGCGACAAGCACTACACAGTTTGCTCGGTGACAGTGATGTGTCAGTGGGTGTTTACTAGCTGTAACAAATGTCCCTCTCACAGGAAATGTAGACAGTAGGGACACGTGGATGTGGCTCTGTGTTTTCCACTCAGTGAGTCTAAAGCTGCTCTTAAGCAAATGAAGTCGGGGGTCTGGAACCTTGGTAGGGACTCTGAGGCCTGGCTCCCCACGGTAAGGCTGGGCCAGTAGCACCGCTGGCCTCGCCTTGCCTTGAGGTTGCTGCTGCCCTGCGGCCGGCACGCAGGCCTACAGGCAGGGCTGCGGGTGGGACGGGCAGAAGCCGCAAGAGCCCAGCTTGGATCTCACGGCCCAGGGGACCACGAGGGGGGAGCGAGGAGGGGTCGGGCCCTTGCGGACCCTTAACCCTGCCCTGCTCGCCGGGAGAAGTGCTGAGCACGAGTCTACATCAAGCTCCGCAAGAACCGGGCAGCCCAGAACATCTCCAGGACGGTCACCGCCTCACACAGTCACATCTGTCTCGGCTCTGACAACCTTGCTCTCAACCTCCCGGGTGAAAGTTTCACCCGGGGAAGCGACAGCCTCATCGGGGTGAGAGATGAGCCCTGTCACCCAGAAGTCCACCCCGGAGAGGAAGTGGCTGTTTCTCCTCTGGATCTGGAGGGCAGCCGGGGCTCGGGCACCTTGTTCCACGCGGCGGTCCCTGTGCTCCTGTCGCCTGGAGCCCGGGGAAGACGGACCTTCCTCCTCCTGCGTGGGCCGGGAGGCTGGGACCCTGTGATTTTGCAGGGATTCCTACAGCCTTGCGCCCTCCCTCCAGGAGGGAGGAGTAATCGCCACCCCAGGAATTCTCAATAAACTTTTGTTACTTAAAGAAAAGAAGGAAAATGAAGTCTGTTCAGGGAGGGCAGACGTTGCCAGTGAAGGTGTGAATGACGTCCAATGAACCCTTCCTCCTTTAACTCTTCATTTTCTATTTGGACAATGAAGCCCAAACCACTGGGGCGAGGCTTAATAGTGGAGTACTTGTTTGGAGGTCCTTGACCGAGGAACGGTCCTCCCCTGTAGGGGCGTCGGGCTCTTTGGCCGAGCGGAGGCCGCACGTAGGGCAGCGAGGGAGGAAGGGGACGCCCGCCCAGCCGGCCAGGTCAGGTGAATCAGCCCTGGTGATCGAGGAGGTGAGGTGTTGCAGCCAGATTGCCCTCACAGCCAAAAACGAAGTCTATTTGAAAACAAATACTCACCTTGAGTTTAATCAGGCCTTGAGACCGAAGACTGACATTGTTATTTGATTCTTTATCGTCTAGCAGGGACCAGATTGTCAGTGTTTGTGGCTTTGGGACGGTTTGTTCCGTCTCAGTCGCTCGGCCCTGTCGCTGCGTGCAGCGCGAACTGGCAGGCACAGCTGTGTGCTGATAAAAATTTATGTACAAAAACGAGAGGGCTGGTTAGAGACCGGATCCAGATGGCGTCGCTGCAGGTCACTGGAGCGCTGGGGTGGCCGGGATGGCTGAGAGGACTCTCTGCACAAGCACCCTGCCTGCCTGGTTTCGGTCCTGGTCTTCGCTAACTGTTCTGCCTTCCTCATATCCCTGTGTCTCACGAAGTAAATGAAATGCTCCTCAAAAAAATCAATGCAAAAAAAAAAAAACAAGAGGGCTGGGGCATGGCTCCGTAGTAGAGGACTAGCACCTGGGAGGCCCGAGTTCCGTCCCCAGTACTGCAAAAGAAAGAGACAAAGCAAAGAAAAAAGAGGGCCTGGGAAGGTAGCTTAGTGGCACAAGTGCCTGCCTGGCAAGTGCAAGGTCCTGAGATCGATTCCCGGTACCAAAAACAAGAAAAGAAAAGGTGGGTTTGCTGGTGTAATCTGTCAATCCTTGCTCTAGAACATAAAAGAACAAAACACGAAACACCCCCATGTGTCTAAGTGCCATGTGTGGATCCATCCTGATTGGATTCTAGTTTGAGAGAAATAGCTGTAACAGATGTTTTGTGGCGTGTGGGGGACATTTCATTCTGAAATGCCTATTGAAAACTCTTAAATCCAGGTTAGGTGGCACATACTTGTCCTCCTAGCACTCAGGAAGCAGAGGCAGGAGGATCACCCAAGTTCATGGCCAGCCTAGCCTACAGAGTGAGTTCAAGGCTACCCTGGACTACATAGTCGGACGTAGTCTCAAATAAATCAAATAAGTAAATAAGTAAAATTGATGTTTTGTTCATCATGCATTTTATTTAACTTATTTATTTTTGTCTTTTTGAGACAGGGACTCACCATGCAGTTCAGGCTGGCCTTGAGCTCATTTTGTAGCCCAGGCTGGCCTTGAACTCGCAGTGATTCTCCTGCCTCAGCCTCCTGAGTGCTGAGATTACAGGCATGCACTACCTTGGCTGATTTGCATTCAATTTATTTTTTCAAAAATAATAATTATTGGGCTGGGGATATAGTTCAGTGGCCTAAGCACCTGCCTGGTAAGCGCAAGGTCATGAGTTCGATCCCCAGTACTGCAAAAAAAAAAAAAACAAAAAACAAAAAACTCAGTAATTATTTCCCTTGGTTGGAGTGGAACCCTAGGTCGAGTGCAGGCAAGGCCAGTGTGCACCACTGTGCCGTTGTATTGATGGCCGTGTCCCTTGCCTCCTCAGCTGTGTGCCTGAGACAGGTGTTCTCTGGTCTGCCCCAGGCCCAGACCTCACTGTGGGGTAGTTCAGTCAGAGACTGACAGCGGCAGGGAGATTGCTGCATCTCAGGGCTGACCCAGAGACTGAGCTGGCTTTCTGCTACTATCACAAAACATGAGATACCCAACAGAAAACCGGAAAGATTCACTTGGGCTCAGAGTCGTGGGGGTTCAGTCCATGACCACGTGCTCTGCAGCTTTGGGGCTGTGGGGGAGGAGCACACCATGGCAGGAGACCACAATCGCCCGAGGCTCTGCCCCCAATGACCTAACTTCCTGCCGCTGGGCTCCACTTCTCAAAGGTCCCACGTCTCTCCGAGGACCAAGCCTTTACCTCATGGCCCTCCGGGGGTTGGGGGGCGTTCTGGATGCAAAGTGTAATGATGTAAACATTCATTGCTCTCGTGGTGCAGCTTCACCGTGGGTTTGAACATTCTCACCAAGGAAATTGTTGTGATAAGGAAACGATAGAGGAACGAGCTACTCCAGCTGCCTTGGGACAGTCCAGTTGACTTCCCTGGCCTGGGAGTAATTGGTAAAATTGTGTTCCTCCTTGAGTGCTCCATTCTACAGCCTTAGGAAGGAAGGAAAGACGGGGACGGAAATGACCATGCTGTCACGACTGTGCTGTCTTGGGGGACCTCATGCAGGCTCATCTTCTGCATAGCACAGTGATGGCCAGACAGCCATAGCATCTGCTGTGGTTTGGAGCAGAAGTGTCCCCAAAGCTCTTGTGCTAAAGGCTCGGGCCCTGGCTGATGGCACTGTTGGGAGGTGAGGGCCCTTTAAGAGGTGGGGCCTAGGAGGAGGAAGTGAGGTCATTGGGTGGGGCCCTGAAGGGGAAGTTGGTACTCCCATCCCTTCTTTCTTCTCTTTCTCTCTGTCTCTGACCTTCCTGGCCTCCAGGAGGTGAGCTCCTTTGCCCCATCTCCATGGCCCCGCACCACGAGATTCAGGAGCAAATAACAGGGCCAGCAAGCACTGACCAACCCTACTGAAACTGTGAATGGAAGCAAATCTTTCTCCTGGTAAGCTGACATCTCGGGCATTTTGTCATAGCAACAAAAGCCAACAAACAGAGCAAACCAAACTCTGTCAAATGAAAACTCCCTGCCAGAAAATAAAATAAAATAAAGGAATCCAAGCAACCGTTTAGCGCAGTACTTTATTAGTAAAAAGATCTTTCCTGTGTCCGATTAGTACAGTCACAAGCTGGGTAACGGCCTCCTGGTCAGGGACAGCCCAGGTTCCCACGGTGGTCCTGCAAGGGCAGCTGCTCGTGAGGTCAGAGCCTCCTTGCGTGAGCCCCCAGCAGATGTCTACGCCACGGTGGCGCTGCCTCTGCGCCTTGCTCAGAGTGTCCCTGTCACAAAGGCCATGTGACTGGGTCCACACACAGAGCGGTTGGTTCTCACTGAATCGATGGCTGTGGATTCTTCGTCTGTGTTGAGAGGCATACCGAGACTTTAACCCAGAGACGAAACCTTACTTTGTCATAGCAGGCCCTTTATCTCTGCATGACGTAAACCCCTGAGTCCCAGACAAGGAGCAGCAAAGGACAGCTTTTTTTTTTTAACAAAGGCTTGCTTTACAGTCTAGGTGAGTTCTTTGTTAAGTAGAGATAGTAGGAGAACCCTAAATTAGCAATCCCTGCCTTCCTAAAATATGCTGCTTCAGCTATGGCATGATTAAGCAGTGTCCATCAATGAATGGGTTCGGAAATTGAGGTGCATGCACAATGGAATATTATTCAGCCATGAAGAAGAATGAAATCCCAACATCTGCAGCAGAATGGATGGAACTGGAAGGCCCTTGTGTGAGATGAGGCGAGGTGGACAGAGAAGACAAGAAGCGCACACCCCTTCTCGCACATGGAAGCTGAAGGGGTCGAGCCGAGTGTTCAGCACTGATTGCTAAACATTGGGGGCGGGGCTGGATCAATGGAGACTGGATTTCATGAGCACATACTTTATGCATATCCCAGCAAAGCCCATTAGTGTGTACAATTAATACACGTTAATAAACATAAAATATAATTTAAAAACCTAAGAAAACTCTTGCCCAATGCCCCTGAACATACATTTTGAAATGACAGCTTAATTTTGTTTTCAGTCAGTGCTAGGACTGAAGCCAGGGCCTCCTACCTGCTAGGCAAGTGTTCTACCACTGAGCTACACCTCCAGCCCTGTTTATTTATTTGTATTATTTATTTATTTTCCAGCCCTTTTTAAGATTCTTTTTATTTTGAGACAAAGTCTGGCTAAGTTGCCCAGGCAGGCCTCTAACTGGGGCTCTTCCTGCCACAGCCTCCCAAGGTGCTGACATTATAGGCGTGTGCCTCTGCACTCAGCCGACTGTGAAGTATTTCAGAAATGGGACTGGGTCTGGACATTTGCAGAACCATCCAGGCCTGCCTTGGAACCCTGGTTTGGAAAGTGGGTAGAAGAACGAGTAGCGTCTCATCAAGCCTAAAAGCTTCATCTTGTGGGCTGGGGTGCATCTTGGCGATAGGGCCCTTCCCCAGTATGCATGAGTCTTGGGTTCCACCTGGTGCCACGAGAAAGCCTCCTTTTCCAGGGTTGTGTTTCGGAATCTCCAAGGGCTCCAGTGGAGGGGAGGAAGGACGGCACCTGGACGGCGTGAAGCCTCCTGTTATTACAGCAAAAGCCCCAGTGCAAGGGGAGCGCCTAGGAGGCTCCGGGAAAGAGGAAGTCCCCCATAGCTAGGCGGGAGCGGCAGGGCCGCCACACCCATGCAGGGAGATGGCCCAGCAGTGGAGCGGGACCCACAGGCCCTTCCTGCTGTGGGTCCGGGAGTCTCCAGCCTGCAGGCTCGTACAGCGTCTTTGCCGTGCGTTAGGGATCCAGAGGCTGCAGCTGCAACAGCTATCACACGTTTATCATTTTAATGCCAGCGTGAGCCCCAGATCAACTCATGAACTAGAGACAGACAGGCCCAGGGTGCCTGTGGGTGCACATCTGAGCAGATGGCTTTTACAAGTGCAACACGGGTATAAAATCTGGCTTTCTGGCTCTGCGTACCAGCAAGGGAGCGCTGACAGCAGGGCACAGGTCGCGCGAAGTCTCCCTGTGAAGGCTAAATGAGACCGGCTGGGCCACAGGGATTGGGACAGGCGGCTCCTGGTTGTCCTGCAAGCTCTCACACCTCAGGCGTGTGCCCTGGAGCAAGTGCAGGTCACCTCGGCACGGCCCCGCCTCCCCATCTGCAAAGTGGACTCAGCAACGCCTGTCCTCCCTGAAGCGTGGGCTGGGACAGGCCCAGAGGACAGCCTCTGCGGCTACACGGACTGGAGGGGCCTGAGGTCCTCTCTCTGGTCTAGCCCATCTCATACCCATGCTTCCCGCCCTCCTCCCTGCCAGCACCCAGCAATCGCACCCCCTTCGGGGCCCAGCCCGCTGTGGATTTTATCGCCCATCCGGTGGTGGGCATTGGATCGGGCCAGCCAGTCAGGGAGCTGCATTCTCACAGGGCAAGGTGACTGGTTCAAGGGTGCACGTTCAGCCAATCCAGCCAGTGGACAAAGGGCTGGCTCCTGGTTGCAGCTCTCAGAACCAGAATCGCTCTCTCCCCTGACCCTGAGCTGGCAGGGCACTGGCCTGCACACTGCCAACCTAGAGCTGCAGGTCTAAGAATGGATCCCATGGGGAGGAGAGGATTAGAAGAATGGAAAATGCGTGGAGGTCTTGGGGCTGGGTGTGCTCTAGTAAAGCCAATTTCTGTGCTGCAGCCAGACTGAGTAGGGCTGACCCCCGGCTCACACGATCAGGCAGACCTGGGAGCGCTTGTTGGGCTTGGGCTCCCTTCCCTGGGTCCCCTCCGACGCCGAGTCCTGGGGGGCTCCCTCCGCCAGCTCCCGCCTCTGCCTCCACTTGACCCTCCACACTGCCTTCTGGAACTTCCCGAGTGGGCCCTGCTCTGAGGCCCTGGAGGCTAGGCACTGGAACCGCTCCCGGAGGATGTAGCCGTGGCTTGTCGGAGCGATGAAGCCATTGGACGTTGGGATGATTCTGGTCACCACTGCATGCACCAACTGGCTGGCCAGCAGCGTGCCTGTTGGGTGAAGACATAAAAGCTAAGATGCAGGGGTCCCCTCCTCCATGCACCAGAGCTGGCTTCAGGTAGGTGAGGTCCTTGCCATTCCCCATACCAGCAGAGTGTGACAGGACCTTCCAGGCTGCCCCTCCCTTCAGCTGCAGAGTGGGAATTCCCTTGGCAAAACCAACTTCCCCTCGGGAATTTTGAAGATTCAGAGACATAATGCAGGTTAGATTCCTTGTATAGGTCTCTGACCTGAAGGGGGTCAGTCAGTGTTATTATTGGAGGAGGAGAAGGAAGAGAGGTTGGGAACCAGGTCGGGATGGGTCAGGATGAGCTTTTAAGGCCACCATCTTCAGACCTTGGCTTCTGGGCTGTCTCTGACTGACTGGAGTCTTTGCTACATTGCATTAGACTACAGGGTACCAGTATATTGGCCCACACCCATCATCCCAGCATTCTTGAGAGGCTGAGGCAGGAGGATGGCAGGTTTGAGCCCCAGCCAGGGCAATCTAGCGACCTAGACCCTGTCCCAAAGTGAAAAAAAATTTTTTTGTTTTGTCTTTTAGAGACAGTGTCTCACTATGCAATTCAGGCTGGCCTTGAGCTCACTTTGTAGCCCAGGCTGGCTTCAAACTTGTCAGGATCCTCCTGTCTCAGCCTCCCAAGTGCTGTGATTACAGGTGTGTGCCACTATGCCCAGCAAAATTTTATATATATATATATATATATATATATATAAATATATATATGTATGTGTGTGTATATATATATATATATATTTTGGTACTGGGAATCGAACTCAGGACCTTGCACTTGCCAGGCAGGCACTTATGCCACTGAGCTATATCCCCAGCCCAAAATGAAAAATTTAAAAAGGGTTGGGATATAGCTTAGCATGAAGGCCCTGGGTTCCATTCTCAACACCACAAAAAACATACACAATGGCTGCAAGTCTAGTGCATAAAACTATGAAATAAAATATGTTTTATCCTGCTGCAGCTACAAAGGTACCTTCAGAAACACCTGGAGGGTCAGGGTCAGACTGACAGCTAGAATGTCCCGGCATGGGACAGCCACACCCCTGCCGCATGTGGCTCAGTCCCTCCTCTTCTCGCCTTGAGGGGCCTTGCCCACGTCCACACAAGACCCGAAAACATACCTCAGGCGGGCTGACCCCTCTGCAGCACCTATGGCCACTTCCCTCGTGCAGGGTGCACAAAGCGGCCCTACACCCTTGGGCGGTTGGCCCTGGGGAGGAGCTTGTGCAGGCCATGTGCACACCTGTCATCAGAGAAGTCAGGGGTCCTCCCCCCGGGCCAGAGGCGGTGAGGAGGGGCCGAGCCAGGGCCCCCGGTGTCCAGGTCGAGGCTCAGGCCCAGCCTAGAGTGAGACTCACCATCCAGCACACTCCAGACGATGACAGAGCGGTCCTGCAAACCCGCAAACACGTACTTGTCATCCTGGGAGAAGCAGGCACACCGCACCCCGGGGCAGTAGGAGCTCTGTTCAAAATAGACCATGGGACCCGGATTCCACGAGGGAAGTAAGCTGCTGGGCACCAACCCTCGGAGCCAGGCTTTGAGCCCCGGGGGATGGGTCCAAGGGAAGCCTGGGGGGTAGGCGGCAGGGTTCCCAGTGGGGGACTGACTTCAGAGAGAGGAATCTTGGAGGCTGTAGACCCTGTGCACCAGGCAGTGCGAATGATAGTGCTCCATTTCCATATGACCTCGCCCACACCAATGTTCACTGTAAATTCACTGACTTAAACATTACATGCTAAAAGCATTGCAGGCTGGGTGCAACAGTGCACGCCTGTCATCTCAGCTACCCAGGAGGCTGAGTCAGGAGGATCACAAGTGTGGGAGCAGCTTAGGTAACTTGGTGAGACCCTGCCTCAAAATAAAATATAAAAAATAAGGACCTAGGGCTGTAGCTCGGTGGAGAAGCACTTGCCCAGCATGCATGGGTTCGATCCTCAGTATCGCAGGAAAAGGAAGGGAGGAAAGACGGAAAAGAAGAAAACAGTGGAGGATCCCAGATTAGACCCCAGAACAGGGAAATGGAATCACGGGCTGAGAATCTCAAATCTGAAACACTCCGAAATCTGAAACTTTTTGAGACTAACAGGAAATCCGGGAATAGAAAATTCCACGCCGCGAAACTTCCTGTCATGGACGGAATTGCTAAAAATACTGTATAAAATTACACTTGTGTGTATATAAAACACAAATGAATTTCCTGTTTAGATTGGGTCCTCTCCCCACGATATGTCAGTAGAGATAGGCAAGTATTGTGAAATCTGAAGAGAGTCCCAATGCAGGACACTAGCCCAAGCACATTTTTTTTTTGACAGGGTCTCACTCTGTAGCTCAGGCTCTCCTCAAACTCACAGAAATCCTCCTGCCTCAGTCTCCTGAATGCTGAAATTATAGGTGTACGCCACCACGCCCACCATCCAAGCATCTTAGATAAGGGACACTCAACCTATGTTTTTGCTTGGTTTTGGTACTGGGGATCAAATCAAAGGACACTCTGCCCTTTTTATTTTTTGAGACAAGGTTGCACTACGTTGCCCAGCTGGGACTCGGACTTGCACCCCCAGCTCCTTAGGCCCAGCCTGGCAGGGGCAGGGTGGCGGGCACGCACCGCGTAGCCCAGCTCCAGCCTGCACGCGCATGTCCCCAGGTCCCAGAGGCACAGCTGGCCCTCCTGGGACCCGCTGACCGCCAGCTGCTCGCCGTGGCTGACGTCCACGCAGGTGACGCGGCTGCCGTGGGCCTCGAGCGGGAACACTTGGGAGTCCGCACACGCATACAGGAACAGGTCGCCGCTGGTCATGCCGTAGAGCACACGGCGGTCGCCCAGCACGGCCACGCTGGCGACGGTCTCGGGCAGCTGCGTGTAGAAGGTGTACACAGGGCCCTCGACGGCCGGGCACGGGTCCCCGGGCGCCACGTCCAGCACCAGCACGATGTTGTCGTAGGCGACGGCCAGCCGGTCCTCGCGCTTGCTCAGGGCCATGTCCACGACCGGCTTGCGGGCCTCGGGCGGAGGGACGCACAGCACGTCCTGCCGCGAGTCCAGGGGGAAGACCAGCACAGCCCCCGACGCCAGCCCAGCGAACAGGAGCTTGGGGCCCTCGGCCACCTCCAGGCGCCGGACCTCGCTGGACGTGTCCAGGGCGTCCTGCGCCTCGCCTGTCGAGGGGGAGCCAGGAGCCGTCAGGGCCCCGTGCAGCTGCCTGGCTGTTCTGGCTTCACGCGGCTCTGGCGATGCGACCCAGGGCTGCCGACCCGAGCTGCAGCCCCAGCCCTGCTCCAGTTTTTACTTTGAGACAGCTGCTCCTGGCCAGGCCGGGCTGCCACTTGCAACACTCCTGCCTCGGCCTCCCGCCCCTCCTCCTCTCCTGGGCCATGTTGCAGGTGTCGGTGCCATGTCCAGGCCCCTCACCCGCAGGCTCATCCAGAGCCCGGGGTGCTCCCGGCTTTGTTTTCTACCTCGCATTGCCCTCTGCCAGAGGGAGCCCCTCATCTGGAAGTGCCTGGGCTCCCCACGAGCGTCCAGAGCCTATGTCCGCCTGGGAGAGGGGCACAGAAGCCTGGCCCCAGCTGGGAGGCTGGCGCATGCCCATCGTCCCAGCCCTGTGGGAGGCTGAGGCAGGAGGACCACAAATTCAAGTGCAGCCTGGGCGACTTAGCGAGACCCTGTCTCAAAATTAAAATGGAGACACAACCTCCCCACCCCCATCTCCGCCCTGGGACGATGTAAGACCCTCACCAGCCAGGAACCCCGAGTCAGGCCCCCCTCCCTCCCGGCAGGGAGCCCACCCACACTGGATCTGGACCCCTGCCCCCAGAACCTGGCAGGAATGCTGCCACCCGAGCCCCGGCCCGGAGGTGTGCTTTCACCTCCTGAGCCAAGGCGGGGTTTCCGTTCTCACAAACAGGACCAAAGTCGGGTCACAAACCTTCGGCCACGTCCCAGACGGTGATTTTGCTCTTGTCCCCGGCTTTGGGGAAGTAGACGAAGTTCCCGCGGTGGGACACGGCGGCCAGGCCGGTGCGGTCCAGGAAGGCCGCCGGGCGCCCCAGCCGCTGCGGGAAGCTGAGGTCCCAGACCTTCAGGGATGAGGACTGCCGGGACGCAGACGCCACCAGGGTCCCAGTGCGGGCCAGCAGGCTCACAGGGCCACCCACACCCTCCAGGGCGGCCAGCAGGACCCCCTGCTCCGACAGACTCCACACCTGGGGGACAGAGGCAGAGGACGACTGCGGGCCACTGCAGGCCGGGAGCGCCGCGCGGTCTGTCACCTCAGCCGGGGTCCCAGGCTGCCCCTCCAGCGCTTCCTCAGCCTCCCAGCCTCTTGTTCTGGTTTTTTGAGACAGGTTCTCGATATACAGCCCAGACTGGCTTTGAACTCAGGTGACCCTCCCGCCTCAGCCTCCCCTGTCCGGGATGACAGGCGAGCCCCACCACGCCCGGCTTTCCTAGCCTTTTAAACTTACCCAGAGCTCCCCAAGCAAATGCCAGACTGGTTCTCAAAGCATGTTTCATGGAACCCCTGGCGGGCAGCCCTGGGCCCTTTCAAGGTGTTTGCAGGATCAAAACTATGTTCAAGCCAGGCACAGCGGCACATGTCTACCACCCCAGCTTCTCAGGAGGCTGAGACTGGAGGGTCCCTTGAGCCCAGGAGTTCAAAACCAGTCCGAACAATACAGCGAGACCATCCAAAAGAAAAAAAAGCCAAGCCCCCAAAACTCATTTTCCTAACCGTTCCAAAAGATGAACATCCTTGGGCCGGGGATATAGCTCAGTGGCACAAGCACCTGCCTGGCAAACGTAAGGTCCTGAGTTCGATTCCCGGTACAAAAAAAAAAAAAGATGAGCGGCCTTTTCTGCTCTTCCTGAGTAAGCACTGGAGCGTTCCAGAAGCTTTCTGACGACATCTCAAGGGTCAGCAGCAACAGATCGCGGCCGCGCGGACCAGCCCACCCTACAGTGCACAAGCACACGGCCTGAGAAGGGCGCTACCGCGCCCCGGGGTGTCAGTGTCGGGAGAGGGACACTCGCGGCCTCCGTGACGTGACGCTGCTGTAACCCTGGAGACAACACCCCCACCCCCACCCCCGCCGCAGGTCACCGCACATCTTTCACGCAGCTGCGCAGAGGGTCTGCTGACGCGCATGCGCTGGGGCCTCGCTCCCAGGGGAGGTGTGTCAGAGCCGCACCTTTAAGGGGCGGGGCTGGGGGCGGAGCTGCAGTGGGGGCGGGGCCGGGGAGGGGCGATGGGCCGCCCACCCTCTGATTTAATGTCCCCCTCTGACTGCTCCTTGTCACGCGTCACCTCAGAAACTGCGGCGCTGACACGTGCATGCGCACAAAGTCCTAGGCAGCCAAGGCTCTCTGGCCTCCTCAGTCATCTCAGCCTGCCGAGAGAGCCGGGCGCGAGGGTGCACACCGCTCATCCTAGCGCTCAGGAGGCTGAGGCAGGAGGATCGCTGCGAGTTCAAAGCCAGCCTGGGCTACACAGCGAGGCCCTCTCTCAAACAAAAGACTGCAGAGAGGTTTTGAAACCGCGACATTAGGAAACTCATTTTTTTCTCTCTCCCTTTCTTTCTTATCAGCACTTTGCCTGTGAGCTGCACCCCAGCTCTGCTCCCCGCATTTTATTTTATTTTATTTTGACCCAGATGCTTTAAGCAAGTGCTGTACCACTGAGCTGTGTCCCTAGCTCTTTCTGTTTTATTTTGAGACACGGTCTCACTAAGTTGCCCAGGCTAGCCTCAAACTAGAGATCCTCCTGCCTCAGCCTCCCAGGTAGCCGGGCTCACAGGTATGCACCATTGCACCAGTGGCCACAGGTTTTCCTCGTTAACCTCAGCAACCCTGAAGGTGGGCTTGTCCTGCCGACACGGTGCTCCACGCTGAAGACGGATCTTCAGCTGCAGGTGGGGTGCTGCTTCTCTGTCGGCCACTTGGGCGGTGCCTGCCCGGTCTTCCCGGGGGCCTGGGGGACCCTGCTTCCCCCAGGGAGAACCCTGAACCCCTGAGTGGTGTAGACAGAGGTCCCCAGGGCTCTGGCACCCTGTCCCCAGCAGAGCCACAGCGGGGTGCGGTGTCCCCTCACCTGAACAAGTCCGTCCCAGGACCCGGTGACAATCAGGTTGTTCTGGGGCCCGAACACCGCGGTCTCCACTCTGTCCTCGTGTTGCAAGTCAGTGGCCAGGAGCCGGCGGAAGCCCTCCGCAGCGGCCAGGAACACCCGCACGCGGCTCCCGAAGCCTGAAATGCACCAGGGCGGGCACTGTGCGGGCGGCTTGGAGGAGCTGGGCCGGGAGCGCGGGACCGGCCAGTGAGGAGGACGGGGCGGTGAACACGGGGGTCTCCCAAAGGGCCCAGCAAGGAGTCCGGAGAGGCGTGGTGAGGCGGCAGGGAGCGGGAGACGGCAAGGAGGGGAGGAGGGCTTCCCGCCACACACGAGGTGGCGGTGCTGGCGGCCGGCGTGGCCGTGGCGTGGCATACAGCGTCGCCCTGGCGCGGGAGAACCAGGCCCCGTGAGCCCCTGTCCCTGTCACGCGTCCGGCAGGCGTCATTTTAAGAGCTGCGGGCAGGCGCGGTGTTCCCCGGGGCAGGCAGGACCCCCACACAGCTCCTGCCCCTCCGTCTGTCCTCCTGCTGGACTGCAGACCCCGGGGTCAGCCCTGTCCCCGCCCCATGCCGCTCGCCCCCTGCTACTGCCGGGCAAGGGTGACAGCTCTCACCTGAAGGGTGCGGAGCCCGAAGCCAGGGAGTTTAGGGGCGCTCCGTGCGTGAGACCCCTGCTCCTGCCTCTGTGTGGCCCTTGATGGGCCAACTGGTCGACTGACTAGTTGACTGACTGAATGATTGGCTGACTGATTTGTGGTGCTGGGAGGCAGCCGCTGTGCCTGAGGTAAGTCCTCACTATGAGCTACACCCAGCCCTGCTTTATGTGTGTGTATTTACCCTGAGGCAGGGCCTCACTGTGTAGTCCTAGCTGCCTTGCACTCACTATGTAGCTCACACTAGCCTTGAGCCTGTGACAATCCTGCTGCCCCAGTCTCCCTAATGCTGAGATTACAGGGGTGCACCGCTATGCCCAGCTACATTTTCTTTCCCAGCTACATTTTTAAAAGTTGAAAAAAATCAAGCCAGCGTGGTAGTGCACACCTCTAATCCTAACGACTTAGGAGGCTGATACAGAAGAGTCTCAAGTTCAAGTCACGTAAAGAGACCTTGTACCAAAACACAGAAAGGGCTGAGGATGTAGCTCAGTGGCATAGGACTTTTCTGGCACATTTGAGGTCCTGGATCCATCCTCAGTACCACAAGGAGTAACAAGATTGATTTTTTTTTTTTCTTTTTGAGGCGGGGTCTCATTATGCAGTTCAGGCTGGCCTTGAACTCACTTTGTAGCCCAGGCTGGTCTCGAACTCACAACGTTCTTCCTGCCTCAGCCTCCTGAGTGCTGGGATTACAGGCATGTGTCACCACCATGCCCAGCCCAAAAGATTGATATTTCATGATGAGTGAAGAGGACATAGGATTCAAATGTTGTTGCTGATAAAGTTTTATTGGCACTCGGCCCCAGGCCAGACATAGTGCCTATGGGTGGCTTTGTGCCACGACACAGCCGTGTCCCCGAATCAGACGCAGCCCCTCCTGGGCTGCAGAGCCACGAGCCCTTGGTCGATGCAACCCTTGGCAGAGGACATTGCTGGCCTCTGACCTAGGGCCCCCTGGGTCCCCAGACACCACCCTGTTTCCAACCCGACTTTGATTTCTTCCCATTGCCCCCAGAGGGACAGCTGGGTGCTACCTGCGGCCAGCAGCGACTCGTCCTCTGCCAGCACCAGGAAGCACGCGGCTTCCGGGAGCCTGTCCAGCCGCCAGTCCTCGTGCTCGCTGTGCAGGGAAACCTGGCCGGAGTTGGGCGATGTCAGCCACTCCTGGGGTGCAGCTCGGGGCCCAGGGCTTTCGTCTTGTTGTGCAGTTCAGGCTGGCCTCAAACTTGGCCGTGCCCTTGAAGGAGCCCCAGCGTCACCAACAAGATAGAATCAGAAGCAACCTTGTTGTCCCAGCACCCAGGAGGCTGAGGCAGGAGGATTACAACTTCCAGGCCAGCCTGAGCTCCATAGCAAGCTCAAGGCCAGCCTGAAATGCATAGGGGGACCCTGTCTTGAACAAAACAAAACAACCAAAAATGAAAAGAAGAAAAGAAAGAGAGAGGGAGGAAAAGAAGAAGGAGGAAGAGAGGTGTCCGAGGGCCCCTCAGTAAAAGCCACAAGGAAGACCATCCCCCGGCTGCCCGGGACGGCTGTGCACTTTGGAGAGGGCGCCATGCTGGTCGTGTAGTCAGTCACTTACCACAGCGATGGAGCCGCTGCTGAACCCCGCAATCACCCTCCCTTGTCTGTGGACAGGGGCCGCGCAGGTCAGGGTCTCGTCTGGAGAGCTGGGCAGCAGCCGTGTCCCCTGCAGCTGTCCAGTGTCTGGGCTCCACATACTGACGACGCCACCCCTGGACAGGGCCAGCAGCCCAGCGTGCGGCACCAGCACCGCCACGCACACCCAGGGGTCGGAGATGTTGCCCAGGACCCGGAAAACCAGCTCGGCCGTCTGCAGGCTCCACGCGCTGATCTAGCAGGGCAAGAGGGAGACCACGGCAGGGGACACCAAACGCAAGACCGGTGCGTGTCATGGGCCTCACTGTGCTGCCCAGGCTGCCCTTGAACACCTGGGCTCAAGTGACCCTCTTACCTCAGTCTCCCAGAAGCTGGAAAGAGGTGGGCACCACCGTGCCCAGCTAAACCTTTCTTTGCACCCATTCTTTTTAAATAGTTTATGATTTTTTGTTTGTTTTGAGACAGAGTCTCACTACACAGTTCAGGCTGGCCTTGAGCTCACTACGGCGCTCAGGTGCCCTTGAACTTGTGAAGATCCCCCTGCCTCAGCCTCCCCAGTGCTGGTATTAGGAAAAGTTTTAACAATAGAAGCTCTGTGGCCAGGCACGGTGGTGCACACTTGTTATCCCAGTGCTCAAGAGGCTGAGGCAGGAGGATCATTAAAAGTTTGAAGCCAGCCTGGGCTACACAGCGAGACCCTGTCTCCAAAAACCAAACCAAAACAAAAATATTGTAGAGCCAGGCAGGGTGGTACACACCTGCAACCCAGCTATACTCAGGAGGCTGAGGCAGGAGGATCTGGAATTTGAGGCTACCCGGGGCAGCACTGTGAAACTCATCTTGGCACCAGCACGAGGCTATGGCTGGAGGCCACACTCCCGGGGAAGTGAGCCCCCCTCACAGGACCAAGTGAGGGCGGAGAGCAGGCCTCAGGTTTAAGGTCACAGAAACCTGGCTGGGATCATCTCGGCCAACGGTGACATTTGCCACCCTCTCCAGCCCCGCCCAGCACCGGGCCCCCCACCCTTGAGCTGCGGCCCCTGCCACTGCCAGGTGCCCTGGTCCCAGCTGGACCGGCTAAGCGGGGTGGCCGAGCGTTACCTGTGAGCCCCAGGCCGCGTACACCACGTTCCGCGCCTCGTCCATGTGCAGGCCACAGGGCTGGGGGTCCGGGAGCCCCGCGTCCCGCAGGGTCCCCCTCTCCCGGCCAGACAGCAGGTGCCACAGGCGCAGCGTGTGGTCCCTGCAGGCAGAGATGGCCAGCGTCCCCCGGGCAAGCACGGCCACACACGTCACCTCGCCTGCAGCAGGACGTGGGCGCATCAGCCCGGGTGCTCTGTCCGGTTGCCGCGGCGCCCGTGGGCACGGACACATCGGCTTCCAGAGGCAGGGCAGGCAGTTCCAGCAAGAAACCACGGGGGATGCGAAATGCAGCCGAGGGCTGGGTTCAGGCAGTCCTCCCAGAGGCCCAGCTTCTGACAAGCAGACGCCTGAGTTTTTACAAAGGCTCGGTGTCCAGGAGATACTTAATTTTTTCTTTTTTTTTTTGGTTGTTTGGAGACAAGGTCTCCTTATGTAGCCCAAGCCGGCCTTGAACTTGCAGAGATCCTCCTGCCTCAGCCTCCTGAGTGCTGGGATGACAGGCATGCGCCACCACGCCCGGCCAGGATGACGTCAATTTCTAAGAGCTCTGGGAGGAGCCAAGTGTGGGGAAATCATCGCCTGTGCTGTGCTGTGGAACACTGTTTATCCTCTGCAAGGTGGTGTGATCCGGCGTTCAGTCGTGCTCTGCATGATGGCCTCCTCACAGAATCCCCGAAGCCTCACAGCCCCTCTCGGAGGGTGCCACGAGGCAGCGGGCCTCCCCTTCCATACCACCCACACCTGCGATGGCTTTGGGGTCCTCACTGAACTTTTACAGTGTTTCTCTGACCACAAATAAGAGGCCGTCACTCTGCGTGGTACACACCCATCATCCCAGCACTGCGGGAGGCTGAGGCAGGAGAGTCCGAATCCCAGCCCAGCCTGGGAAGACCCTGTCTCAACACAAAACATGAAGGGACTGAGGCTGCAGCTCCACCGAAGCCCTGGGCTCACCTGGTACTTGGGAGAGAGGGAAGACAGGGAGGGAAAAACTGAGCCTCCGCTGTGACTGAATGAACGTCTCCCCCAAACTAGCACGGGGGAAACAGCCCCAGGGCAAGAGTGTTTGGAGGACTTTTTCTTTTCTTTTCTGAAGTACTCGTGGTTGAACCCAGAACCCTCTCAGCAAGCCACAGCCACAGCTCACTCTTTCTCTCTTTCTTTCTCTCTTTCTCTCTTTTTCTCTGTCACGTAGGGGGTGGAATCCAGGGCCTTCACACTGAGCTACCTCCCTAATCCATTTTACTTTTTATGTTGAGCCAGGTTCTCTCTGGGTGACCCGGACTTGAACTTGCAGTACTCCTGCCTCGGCCTCCTGTGTGCCTGGGATCACAGGCGTGCGCCAGCACACGGGCTTGTGGAGCACTTTGTCAGGCAGCTCACGCCGAGCGTGGCAGGAACGGAGCCCAGAGCTCTGACACCAAGGGGTGCGTGGCGAGGGGCTGCAGTCTGCTCCCGGGGGACATGGGGCAGTGCCCGCCCGCCCGTGCCGCCCACCTGTGTGTCCCGTGAGGATGTGGGTCACACGCTGCTCCTGCACGTCCCACACGGTCACCACGCCGTCCTGGGCGCCCACCACCAGCAGCTGCTCCTCCGGGCTCCACGCCAGGGCTGTGACACCTGTGGCCACACGGGATGACAGCCATGCCCTCAGCGCCGGGCTCCACCGCGGCCCCTGGCATGTGCCACCCTCCACCGACGGCAGCCACCGCAGCGGCTCGTGGGGCAACACAGTGTCCCCAGCCCGGGCTCGTTAGCGTATTTACACCGCGGCTCTGCTGTCCCTGGGGCACCCAGGGCCAAGTCAGCATGAGCTGGCACCGGCTGATGGCGCCCTGGGGACCCGCCTGGAGCCCGTGCCCGCCTCCGCTGCCCGGGACACCCACCTCTGTGACAGCCTGTGAGGACAGCACGCAGGGGGCCCCCAGGGGGCTGCAGGCACCCAGCCAGCGGCACCAGCACCGGTTGCGGGCACGCGTGGAGCCAGGCCTGGGCCTGCCGGCAGAGCGGCCCCACCAGCACCGGGCACGACGGGGCGAAGTGCTGCAGCCTGGCCAGCAGCTCTGTGTACAGCACACTCCTCTCTGCAAGGGACGGGGACCGTGACCGCCTGTGTGGCCCCCGCCACCCCACCGCCCCCGAGCAGGCTCCAGGCTCCCAAGCCTTGCCCACGGCGCTGCAAAAGCACTTGGGGAGGCTGAGGCAGGAGGGGTGCATGTTTGGGCCCAGCCCGGGCAACTTAGCAACACAGGGAGATGCCGCTCCCACTCAGGCGCCTGTCCAGCCAGGGCGAAGCCCCAGTTTCTGTCCCCAGGAGCCTAAGACAACCCCAGAAAGGAGCTGCAGCCAGAGCGGCTCCCTGCCAAGCAAAGCTGGCCTGCGGTGAGGATGCAGGGGGCACGGAGCTGCGTTACTGTCTGCGGGGCGCCCTTGAGCACAGGAAAGCCGGGTGGCCGGAGGAGGCAGGTGCCCACGGCGCCCTGGTGACAGATTTGTGCCCACCCAGCAGCCACCGTTGTCACTCCAAGGGCCACAGAGGCCCTACGCGCCCCCCCAGGGGGCTTCCAATCCCCTCCTGTAACGGGGCGGAGCCCTAGGTCCTGGAGACCGCGGGGCGGACCCTCGGTTCTGCTCAGGAGTCAGGGACCCGCAGGGCTGCAAGTCACCGCGTGGGCCGCGGAGTGGGATCCTGCAGACCCAGCCCCTCTCGCTGCCGCTGAGAAGCGGGGGATCGGTCGCCACAGAAAGGGCTGCACCAAGCCCCCGCCATCCAGGGTCCTGAGACCACCGGACGCCCGGAACAGGCCCCAGGACCCCTGAGGGACTCGGTGGGGGTGGCCTCGCACTCCTTCCTGGCCGCCCAAGGGGCGGCCTGCCCCCCACCCTGCAGGAAACTGAGGGCAGGACTCGGTCCTGGCCGCGACTGCTCAGCGCCGCTGAAGGTGCGCTTACAGTGGTGACGGTGGTAAAGAAGCCGGGCATGGTGCACACGCCATCATCCCAGCGTTTGGGGAGGCTGAGGCGGGAGGACAGAAAGTGTGAGCTCAGCCTGGCCAGTTTAGGGACTTAGGGAGACCCTGTTTCAATGTAGAAGGTGAAGAGGGCCGGGGATGCAGCCCAGGGCACAGGCCCTGGCTTCCACCCTGGTACTGAGAACAAAGCATCGAGGGAGACAGGCAAATGGAACGCTAAACGCCCGGCAAGTCGGAGGCTGCGCGTGTGGCCCACTGCTGAGCGCTCGCCTGGCGCGCACCAGGCCCGGCACCGTGGCGGCCCGGTCCCCACAGTGTCTGCAGCTCGCCGTGCCACCCGTGGGAGCGGCTTCTCCTGTTGCAGTGCGGCTGCCATTTCCTGAGCTGTCCCGGAAAGTGCAGAAGCGGGCACCAGGAGCAAGGGACCCTGAGGCTGAGGCAGGACAACTCCAGCAGTGCAGAGGGACCCCAGCCAGGTCAGCCGCTCACCTGCACCCCGCAGCTCCAGGGCTGGGCGGCAGAGCTCGAGCGCCTCGCGCACCAGGCCCAGCTCAGGGCCTTCCACGTGGGGCATACACAGGTCCACGTCATCCAGCAGAGCATCAAGGCCACTGGACAGCACCCGACAGGACAGCCAGCTCATGTCACCTGCAGGCCAGGGTGGGCAGGGCTCAGCATCATCTCCATCTCTTTCAGGGTCCCCACTTAGCGGGGTGCACATTTGGCCAGGCTGACCCTGGGGTGGGGGCTGCACCCTGTTCTGTGGGGGTGGGCAGGGCATCACTGTAGCCCGAGGAGGTGGAAATCCTGCCTGAAATGCCCCTGGACACGACAAGGGTCTCCAGGGGCAGGGTACAATGTCCTGAGGTTGAGAATCACAGGGAGGGAGAGCTGGGAGGATGAAAGGATGGATGGATGGATGGATGGATAGATGG